GATTTCAGCGAACAATTTGTTTTCCCTACCTATCCAAGTTTAAACTAACATTTTATAAGAAAAGCTGTAAACATATATGCAATTGTTTCATATTTTTAGCATTCGTCGTCGACTTACTTACCACTTCAATTAAATTAAAAAAAAACCTTATCTAACGATATAAAATTAAATCTTATGCAGCTTGCAAAAGATGTAAACTGTCCCTAAACCGAACCTACAATGATTCAATGAAGTCACGTGCTTTGCTTTTATACGCACCTTCTTAGGAATCGGCAATGAAGTGCAAGTATTTGGAAACGAGAAAACTCCTACCGCGCATAGGCGTTCCAACCACCCTTGGTTAGAGGCGAAAATCCGCACGGAAAACTGGTTCTAAGCGCTGTACGAGAAAATTGGAGCAAGTAAATTTGTGGTGTGAGTCCCGAAATTTCGGGATTTTATTTTAATGCTTCGGAATTTGGTGTAAATTTATAGTTCACATTAAAATTTATGTCATTTTAGCCCTCAGATAGATAGATAGATAGATAGGTTTCCATCAGTTTCAGTAGTATTTGACTTTTCTTAAAATATTTAAATTTTTTAAAAGATTCTTTTGATATATTATACACCAAATTTTAGTAATTTCAATTTAAAGCTTAGAAATCTTCGAATCCCGATTCCCGAAATGCAGGAAATACATCATTTTAATTCATTTATGAAAATATTAGGAACATTCATCAAGAAAATCGTAATTTTCGATAAAATAATAAATCCCGAATTTAGTCCCTAAGTGCACAAACAACGGTGTATTTGTACATACGAGTACACTAGGTTTATAAAGGTTTTTCTTATAAAAAACTTTTTTTTGTTATATTTACAAAAATTATTTAGTCCTGAAATGCACAAACTACGCTGTATCTGTCCTTATAATAGTTTTATAGAATTATTTCCTATAAAAAATGTACTAAAATTATGAATCCGATTGTAGTTCCGAAATCCCGAAAAGTTTATTTCACCAAAATTGACATACATATTCATGCAATCATCGTGTGTATTTCAAATTTTAGTTACATATGTACATACAGAGAATGATTCATGCTCGTATAATGCTTACAGTGAATGACAAATATGTGAGTACAGTTGAGCAAATACTGAGTTGTACTAAAATGTTACTATAAGCTGACATGAAAAAATTGAGTGCGTGTTCACATATTCTACGACTTCGTTTCATGTTTAATAAGGCGTCAAAAGTTCTTCGAGAGTGGATGTTTCGGTTCTTTGCTCCAGGTAGGTCGAGTTTTCTTAACATTTTTGAAACCAAAAATGGAAAATTTTCTCAAAATCAATATTTATATCGGAAAATACTATGCAATTAAAGAAACTTTTGAATTTTCCTAAGCTGTTTAACTGTTGACGTGTATTATTACCCACCACTGTAGGCATTAGATTACTAAACATACATACATATAAATACATATGCCTATAAAAGATACATTCACCAGGAAGCCACTACTTGCCTGCCCTGCGCATAACCAAACTGATTGTAGCACATAGATACATATGCACATACATTCATACTTTTGTACCTGCTTACTCACCACTCTTTGTTCTGTTCACTTTTGCTGCCATTCGCCTTCGTTGCTTAGTGTTTTTTTGCTTGCGCGCTCATTGCTTGCTAAAGTATCTCGTATCTGCACGTAGCATATATACAAATATTTCATTCGCTAGTTAGTACACTCTGCAATTCTCAGCGCCTTAATAAAAAAATTGATAGAGAAGCTACGTTGTTGACGTTAAAAAGTTATCGCTTCTCGGCCTTATGGCTAAGATCAAAGTGTAGTATCTGTTCTTATCAGCTTAACATCTGATAGATCCTCCATCGGAGGACAACAAATGTTAAACTGATTTTTGGAAAAAGGCGGAGTGTTTTAGGAGCTTGCTCCACCTCTGCCACGGGTTGGCCCGGTATTGCAGTACCACCGGGAATTCGGCCCAAATTATTGAATACATATCAGAAGTAGAATAAAAAAGAAGAAAGAATAAGTTTGTAAGTTTGTGATTCTGAGGTCATTGACTCGGTGTACAGAAATTGATTTTTTGGTATACGGAACTTAATTTGTCTATTGTTCTGACTTATGTTTAGTCATAAGCTTTCAAGGCTTTCAAAAATTTATTTGCCGTAATCAGATTTTATTTATTTTTTAGTATGACTTTTATAAAGAAAAAGTAATAATATTTTATTTATTTTTTAAATTTCGTATTTTTTTCATTAAAAAATTTATATTTCGAAAAGTTTTTTATATATATATGTATATGGAATATTTTTTATTTTTAAAATTCATTTTTCGAAAGAATTAGTTTTTCAAAAAACAAAATTTTGTTTTTCACTGAAAATTTTAACGTTTCGTGTAGAAACTTGTAAAAAATTTTGTTTTCGAGCTTTGATTATTTAATTAATATTTAATTTTTTTTGATATCGCGATGGATAATTTCTTACATGTTTCATACACCAAAGCAGTTCTTAACCACTTTATGTGCATTTGCGTACATTTGCAACACAAAGTGTTTAATATAGTTTCAAAAAGGGCGCTCGTCTTGCATGGTACTTCCATTCGGGGTTCGAAGCCCTGCGTGCGGACGCATTGCGGTGTCCACGTTCAACTTTAAATAAATGGAGAAGCGAATCGCCTCTGTTTTATTTCGAACGTTATGGATGCTCCAGTGGGGTATGGCTTTGCATATCCAGTGCATAATTTTTGAAATATGAGATACGAGCTGCCAAAGTGTATTGCTTTTACTTTCGGGTAACTGCGTGGCATGAGAGCGCTCGATCTCGTCTTGGTGATGTATTAACAAAGAAAAGGTTTTATGGTTTATATCTAGGTTTGGTATTAGAAGAGTAGTATTCTACTACGAGCGAAAAAAGATAAGTAAAATACCAATAGTTATCGTCTATAATCCGGCCTCTTCTCACGAATAGCTTCGCACAAACGCATAACGCTCAAAGTAGTATTCCTTGTTGATTGTTTGACCGGTCGAAGAAGGAATTCAGAGGGCACCGCACCTCGCTAATTGAACGCCTCTCGACATAATCTTCATTTTTGACCTGCTTTGACGTAGTTTTTTCAGCTTTGGCTCACCGATGCTATGATATTTGATGGATTGATTGTCTGTTTCCGCGTTGTAAGCTGGATCCATGACTCATCACCAGTAATAATGCGTTTCTTATTAATCGGAAAGCATTGTTCACAGATCATAACGCGATGCTGATTTTCGAAAAAATTGATTGATTTTGGAACAAATCGTGCTTTCACTTTTCGTATGCTCAAATTATCTATCAAAATGTTGTCGATTGTCAAGCACCAATTCCTCTATTTATTATTTATTGCCATGTTGATCAACAATTGATGTTGATCGTCTGTGGCGTCAAGGTGTTCTTGACCCTCTTTACTTTATGTACTTCAGAAAAGCATTCCGATAATACTTAGGTCCACCTAATTACAATCTCGAACTTGATTGCATGCTTTTAGGCTGCAAATATTTACATAAAAACTTTCTTATCATCAACCTCGTTCTTTTATTACTTGAAAGCACTACAAATTGACAACATTTTTTACACGTTTTGCGGATTTACTGCCATGCAGCTAAAAAGTATGCTAAGTAATATACGAAAAATCGTAAAATAGTGAACCCAAAAGCTTTCTCACGCTACGCTGCGTCACGCTTCTTCGCATTCGACTTTATTAAATCTTTTTTAGATCTGACTTTGTTGATATTTCGTTTGCTTCGTTGGTTGACCCAGAACTTTTTAATTATAAAAATCTTTTTAGCCTCGGTTAACGTTTATTTCGCTCTTACATTATTTACGGCATTATTTATAAATTAATACGGTTTATGTGCATTGCTGTTGTTGTTTGTAAATTATTAATTTGACGCGCGTTGTTTGGCAGGAACAAATGAAAGTTTGCAGCGCAAAAAGGTTCGTTTGTGAAATTTGGCAAGTGTGATTTTATACGCATTTGCTTACAAGCATGAGTTTTTTGTGAGCATGCTGCGCTTTGTCTTTCGTTTATTGTGAAGGTGTTGAAGGGGTTGGAGCATCTTTGCATTTTGTGAGTATTTTACCAAAACTTGGCGCACAAAAGTATGTAGTGATAATAGCAGCAGCTGTAATCCCTAATTATTTCTGGTTTTTACAATGTAAACGCTAATTGTGGCGTCTAAAGAAAGCGTTACACTTGTTTTGAGAAATTTTTTTGAAGGTTATAAAAATGTGCTGCCTACATTTAGGCTGTTTTGTAATTAGGGTTACTTAAATAATTTACCTACACGCCCAAAATTTGTGATTGCTTTAAAAAAATCACACTGTTACAAATTTTTGGCAATAAAAATTAAAATTTTTCAAAAA